CCTTACATGATAATGAGAGGTATTTCTAACTTTTTGTCATACCTATTTCTGCACATGAGGGGGCAGAATATTGGAAACATTTAATATAATGCTGTCCAGTACAGCTCAGTCACTAACTAAAACATAGTTATTGTATAGGATTGCCTTTAGCTGTATGCATTTAACTAATTAGGTGGACATTGGGTGTAAAAATGTAAAGAAATAAATGGTTTTCAGATACGTTTCAAATGCAAAAAACAAACGACATATTACATAATGGACACACTAGATTAATATTATATTAATATAACGTATATGACCTGTTATCAAATGTCAAGATTTATGTAATAACAACTGAGACACCTTTATTTGTTGACGGACACTCTGACACACAGATACAAGCTAATTACTTTTAACTAATTTATTTTTATGCTCAGAAGATAATTGTAATGGGTTATTTCATGGGAGACACGGAAGACAAATGTTCTTGAGTGAACCTTATATCGCACCTGTCGTGTCAATTTGCAACAACCACTCAGGACAGTAAGCCCGGGCAGAGGGTGTTGTCTTCTCTGACCAATCAGAGGTGCTGAGCCCGTCTCTTTTTCCTTTCTGACGTCAGGCAGCTGAAAGGCCAGAAAGAGAGAGAGAGGAGAGGAGGACAGGTTGATGGTGAAACGAGAACAGAGGAAGAAATATCACAAGAGTGTGTCGGGTCAGCTGAGTAAAAGAAGGGAGAGAAGAGGGGGAAGAAAAAGAATAAAATGCTGATGTATCATTGAGGAAGAGGAAGAGGAAAACAGATACAATAAGAGGAAGAACATGCGTCTTAAATTCTGCCGTAAAGAACAAAACAAGGGATGGAAAGAGATACAGTGACAGAATCCCTTAAAGAGGTCCATTTCCATGCTGACACAGTGCGTAGGAGGTGTGAAGGTTGTCGATTTGACACAGTTTGGCAAATGGCCATGTGCACAGTTAGATGATGTCACCTGTCTCTTTTCTCTCTCTCTCTCTCTCTCTCTCTCCATTCTCCTCCTCCTCCCTCCGATTGTCAGTAGGTCGAAGCTATAGCATCCGCCTCCCTCCTCCTCCTTCCCGTCTCCTTCCGTCAGGAATCCTGATAGGCGGGAAACACATTGCACTGATGAGATCGTGAACATCCGGGTGCAAAAAGGTCTGAAAATGCTCATTAAACATGCTTTAAAAAATAACTACGTTGTCAGCATCGGCTTAAGCTCCTTGCGTGACTGTGATAGAACGACACGATGTGGCTACTTTTGTTATAAGTTTGAACTCAATCAGAGTGAGAATGACTTAAAAAGCATTAAAGAGGGCACTCAAATGCCACTAAACCTTCGTCCTGGTTATTTTTGATTTGCTTTATTAAGCATTTTTAAATAGACATCTATAAATAGATTCCTTGAGCTTCTCCTGAATGATAGAAATACACTTTAAAGTGCCTTTGACAAGCCAGACAGGACGTTGCTATAAAAATAGACATAACAGACCTTTTGATTTACGCACTTATCGCCTACTTTTGAGTTCCTAGAAACTTAAAATACAAAAGAGGCAATTCTAGGCAATACTATGTATTCTACACCTGTATGTAGGCTACAGTTGTTTTAGAGACAACACACACACACACACACACACACACTCACCGGCATGGATAGTGGATGAGTCATGTCTGCCAGCCCTTACTGTTACTGTGATGGCTCCAGATTTAAGGGCCAGCAATCTGCATGCATCTCACAGACTCTCTACCTTTCTGTCTCTCTTTCTCCCCCCTTTCTGTCTCTCTATTCTGTCTCACTCTTGCCCTCGCTCTACTTCCGTCTCCTTCGCACACAAACACACAGGTAGGAAAATATTGGGGGTGGTGTGAAACTGACAGCCCTCTGCTGTGCCAGACACCGGCTCCATATGTTGTTGATTGGTCCCCTCTCAGGATCCGACATAAGTCAGGCGTTCAGAACTGCTCAAACTGAAGATATGGAAATGATATCAAAAGACAAAAGACTCGTGGCTGTGTCCTTATATCCATATGTCTAGCAGCAGAGTGTAGGGGGAAACAGGTGTGCATGTACACACACACACACACACACGCACACCACAGTCAGGGTCAAAGACAGAGCGTGAAATTGAGCAACTACAGTTAAAGGCAGACTAGACAATCCCAACCGAACTAGGACATCTATCCCCACAAGGCATGATCACAGCATCCTGCAGTGACATAATATGTGAGACCAATGAGTGATGAATGAGCATTCAAGCACCCCTAGCAACGGCACAACAGATGTTTCCCATATCACCATCTACGGTTTCAATTCCAGCTAACGTTCTTACCCAAATCTGGGGCCCATTGCATACTGAACTTTCGGTTGCCATAACAATCAGACATGAATCAGCGAACAAGGGTTTAAAAACATTGAGCAAATTGAATCTCCCCCCGTGTGACATTTTGGGAACAAATCTGCTAATTCTGTTATCGACGGAACCTGTTTCGTCCACTCAGGAAAACATGACAGAAGGAATTGGTCCTTGTAAAGCAGGTGTATGCAAATAGCTTCTTTTTGTTGTGTTTTGTGTTAACATTTCTTTAAAAACGCCAAACAAACAAACCCTCGAGCGAAAATCAAGTTGTTCTTTTTTTACCTTGTTACCATGTTAATGAGTTTATTTTATATGCTACAAGACACAGATGGCGTCTCAAAAGCACAGAAACAAACTTCTGTGGTTTCATATGTAACAAATATAAACCTAAATTCTGTTAACTTGAGGATCGGAGCTTTTTGTGTCATCATTCTGCTTCAGAATCACTTTCCAGTTTGAATATGTGTGGCTGAATTACTCCCACTTGCCAATGTGTGGTGTAGATTTACAGTGTTTGCTCAAAGGCGCAGGTGAGCTGGTGTGCTTGAGCTGCAGTGAGCAGAAAGGGGTTAATGAAGAGAGGGAGGGGGGTGGAGACCTCATTCTAAATGAAGCAACAGTGTAGAGTTACATTTCAGCCATTTTAAATTGTTTTCATGGGGAAAAAATTTGTAACTTTTGGTACACGGACATGAGCTTTTTTTTTCTTTTTTATTTGGGTTTCATCAATAACCAGAGAGGGACTGTAAGCACCCTCAGTGAGAGGTGTAATGGCATCAACAACCCAACAAGAGCAAATAAGCACCTCCTTTTGTTGTGCTTTGGAACAGTTGTGTAAAGCATCCGTGCCAGGAAAGTGGTTTAAACGCAGCTTCCAGTAAGACTGAGTGGTGAGCTCTCCGTGGTGCTGAAATGGAGGGAAATTCACTCCTGAAAGTTTTCAAACAATGTATGAAATCTGGATTAAATTCAGTGCGATATTCAGTATGTCGTTGCACCATTTTCTGGCAGAGGGACCCCTAGCTGCACTCAAACTAATTGGATTGGTGTTGGACCAGCACTTTTTTCCCCTTCCTCTCAACAACAAATTGTAGAATAAGCTGCCTCCCGCACGGCCTTAAGCACAAATTAATCAGGTAATCATCTCTTGTCTTCTCCCCAATACAGCCCATTAACATTAAGCAACACTCTCTTGTGTCTTTGGTAGCACTCCAAGCCATGCACACTGACAATGATTAGTAGCTTTAAGGATGAGGATAAATACTGTAATTTACTTTCAGCACCCTAAGAGCAGCCACCATCTATCTCTCCATCCCCTCTCTCTCTCTCTCTCTCACTTTCTCTCTCTCTCTGTCACACTCTCACAGGGACGTTGCATATAGAGCCATACTGCAAGTCATGTGCTTGTTTTAAAACCCACTGACCAAACACAACACTGCTGATAAAATGGGACCCACTTGCAGGGAACAGATAATATTGTTAAACCTACAAGAACAAACCTTGTGCTTGTTCAGCTGCTTTCCACTTGTTCAAAGGGCTTAAGGCTGACTAGTTTTTTTTTTTCTTTTTTTTTTACATTTTATTTTTCTGTAGTAGTGTAGCCCTACATCTTACTTCACCTTTTTTCTCCCCTGGGAAAGAAAAAAATATATATATTTACAAAAAATCTGGATTTGCAGTGTGGTTCGGGCACAGCTCACATTGAAAAATGGGATGGATCAGTGAATCTTGATGATTATATGGAAACAGTGAGTGTGATCTCTTAACTGCATTGTTGTTCTTGTGAATGGACTCGCGTCTATCCTGCACCAAAAGCAAGATGTCGCCACAAGTGTGTGTTTGCTTCCCTGCCAGGAGGATATTTGGCGACTATTACTCCTGAGGAGCTGAGTGGATAACCAAAACAACATTAAGCACCTTTCTTTCTGTGTCTGTGGTCTCTCCCTCACCCTCTCCGCGCGCGTGTGTGTGTGTGTGCGCGCGTGTGTGTGTATGCGCGTGTGTGTGGTGTGCATATAGATAATAAGCTGCTCCGCCACTGCGCAACGATGGAGCTATCGCAACGATGGAGATGACGCAAACAGACCCAGCTCTCCGAAAAAGTGTTTCAAGACGAACATGGCGGCAACTTAACCGCGGTCCAAGATGACAATGGCCAACAGGAGAAAGGATTCTAGGCTTTCCGCCCAGGTACGGGACAGAGAAACCAGCCTGCCTGCATCAAAAGGCTCGTCGCTCTCCTTTAAGTGAATCTGCAAAGCGAACGGCGGCAGACGCGCAGCATCAGCACCGAGAGACTCGCAACAGCTGGTCTCCCTGCGCCCCCCGACGAGAGAACAAACCCGAGGAGGGACGGTATAGGGAGAAGGGGGGCATGCGGTCAAAGAGGACGCCGTTTCCCCCCGGAGAGCCATGGAGAACCGGGATGCGGCAGCGCGAAGCTTAATCTGTGCGGGCACGCTAATTGGATCGGAATAGCACCGATTGCTGCGGGCGCGATAGTGGAGCGCCCTGGACCGGCGGAGGCACGGCACCCCACCGTTACAGAGGAGAACCAACCGGAGTCCATCTCCCAACAAGTCAATGAGTATTGTGGCAGAGCAGCCCCCGCGGTGGAGTCGGCCAGGGCAGCACTTTCCTAAAATATGACCAGGGGTGCTTGGATGCGTCGGCAGCATGACGAAGGCTTAAAATACTGGTTTGCACCCCGAGAGAACGAGAAGCCATTTACCGAGTCGGAGCGGGCCCAGAGATGGCGACTGTCGCTGGCCTCTCTGCTGTTCATCACCGTCCTGCTCTCTGATCACTTGTGGTTCTGCGCCGAGGCGAAACTGACGCGAACCCGAGACAAGCGGTCGGACGAGGGGCTTGCAATTACGGACATGGGCGAGTACCCAAACTCCCTCCAGCGACACCATATCCCAACATCACCCGACCCCCACCGTCTCGCCAGAGAGCAAGATGTTATTTTTCTAGGGAATTCTACCAAACCTCTGTGGCGAATGGACACCTGTCTCCCTGACAGCGTGTCCAAAGACTGCTTTACTTTCACGGACGCGAAGACCGTGTGCCAGGGCCTCTCTGACGGAGGGGAAAAGGGGACACAGTTGGCGTACGTGAATCTGAGCGATTTGTACCTTTCTTTTTGTAATTCCTACTCACTTTTGGATTTGTTTCACGGGTTTACGAGTCCGGACGATTTGAATTGCACCCTGGATATGGCCAAGGGGGTGGATCTGCGGGGATGCAGCGAGTGCGTCCGGGCTTATCAGCATCTTGACCAGCGGGCGGAGGAGAACTACCGGGAGTTTGAACTGTTGGTTCTGAAATACGAGACGGATGTATACTCGGTTAGGACGTGCATGGAGGAGTGCAAGGTAGGACTGAGAACGAGGCCGGGTTCGCGCACGCGCACACACACGCAAGTGCATTTTTAAGGGGGTGGGTTCACGGTCGTCATGGCAACCGTTGGGCATATCTGTCAGGATACTGGTATTTAATATCTCGAGTTCAGACTACCAGTAGGGCCACCAGTGCCTCCAACAGCATCAGCTGGAGCTGTCAAAGCTTTGCATGAACACTCAGCTGCACCTCATGAAAAAAAACAAATACAAAAAAATCAAAGCCTGTTATTTGTCATATTGGACTGTTTTTGTTGAACTGTGCAAGTGATGCTTTACATTTTGGAGTAAGGTCCAGGTTTATGCCACAGCTACATGAGATGAGGAGGGAGGGAGGGAGGGAAAGGGGGGGAGGCTGTCTGGTGGTGCACATTTCAATATCGTTAATAGCACTCCAGTGATTTCTGCACCTAATCCAGGCTTTGCATTGTCCCTCAGTATACTTGTTGTTCCAATAGCAGAGCAGCCTAACAAAACACATGTCTCGGGCTCCTTTTTTTGACCTGCACACATGCTGTGCAAATCAGCAGCATTTAATATACCAGGGCCTGTGTCACCTATAGACACACAGGCACAGACATTTAGCCTTATGTTACCTACGTGGTCACAACCCCGCTCTGCTGTGTTGAACAATGAGACACCTGAAAAGAGAAACGGGGAGGGGATATGTCGGTTAAATTACACTTTAGTCTGTTTCATTTGTTGTGCACTGGACTGTTGCAGAGGCTTGTCTCGCCATAACAAGTGCATGAGCCTGTGTTCACTGTCCATGGTGCTGAAAGTAGGCTCCGCAAAAGGCCTGACAGTTGGACATTTCCTCTTTAGCTGTGCAAACCTCCAATTATATACATTATGTTGGCGGTGTGGCAGTAAAGTGTGGTTATGCAGTTAACTGTATTGACACAAAGACGACAGTCAACCTCATTTCTTGGACTTTGTTTACCACAGGATATTCTCCAGCTCTTACAAGTCTACCCACACCTGGATATTTACTTGTCTGGCTTAAGAGATATAAAATATGCAGTGTGGGGGACTTCTGTGAGCAGGTTTGAGAATCAGTGGTATGGAAACTATGGAATCTAGTTAAAGACAGGGAATACGTGGGAGTGAGGCCTGACAAGGACAGTAGAATTGATGATATTAGCCTGGTGTTGCACTGTACCTGGTGGAGATACAGTACATGCATCATTAGAGTGCTGCACTGTATCCGTAGCTTGACTTTCACTCTTGTGCCGAGACACGTTTTCTAGTTTGACGCGCTATATTTTCCCCATCTTGAACATTAAGATTTTGAGAAGCAGTTGTTATCAAATGTACCTGATGCAAGGGGGAGCCGCGTTACGACCACAACAGCGATACAACAAAGGTCGGAGGATGAACCTCGGGAAGCAGGAAACCTTCCCTGAAAACTGCTCTCATAATGATACTGCAACCTAAACCCATTCCTGCAAGATAGATGTTGCACGAGGGCAGATGGTCAGGGTGCTGGCCTGCGAGCGCTGATAATCCATGTGTGTGAGGAAGGATAGTTAGTGGGAGGTTATACAAAGGATAAACTGTCACAATGGAGTCATGTGCTAGAGTATGTAGTTTGCTTTTTGTGAGTCATACCTGATTGTTATGCTCGTTTGCCAGAGAGTGTGTGCATGCATATGTATGTGTTATATGTATGTGCATGAAACTATTTCCTATGGCATCTTATAGCTGCTTCCTTATTATGCTATCTAATCAGTGGTGTGCTTTTGCACTCCTACTCTTTGCTAATGTAATAAGACTCAGGCAGGGCTACAGCAGCCTTTTAGCCCCTTTAGCCCGATCTGAATTGCTAATCTGCTTCAGTGTTCGTGTGACCTTTGTGAAAGCACAGCACCCCAGGCCTGCATCACAAGCCACTGCTCCTTGAAGAAGCACTCTGCTGGACAATAAAAAGACATTAGGCAGCTTGAAACAATAATTATTTCTATTCACTCTTATCTCTGCTTTCTCTCATCTCAGGCCTCCCCACTCTTGTAAATTCTTTATCCACAATTAAAAAAAAAACATACTTTCTTTTCTAACACTCAATGAGTTGACATCGTGACATTACGTGTTGTTTGCGTTATTTGCGTGGTGTCACTGTTGTGCATCTTTAGCAGATGAAAGAATGAAGAGATAATAGAATAAGTGAGGTTAAAAGGTGAATTCGCAGGAGCTAAGGGAAGAAAAATAACAGCAGTGAAGATGGGAAAATGTCAGTTAGGCGATAATATCAATATGTCTTAACAGCAGATACACACATGCTCCTCGCATAAAAAGACACAACTAGCTTAGTAATCTTCATGAACAGATGTAAATTGTGGGCTGCCGTCATCGTCATTCGAAAGCATTGGTTTCATCTGAATGGTGGGTGGCACTGAACCTGTTTGTTTACTGTATGACAGAAAAACATGTTACTAGTTTGCCTGTTAGTACATTTAAAAAAAAAATAAAAATCCAAAATAATTAGAAAATAAGCAGAATTCTAATACGTTTGGAAAGCAGATGCTGTAAAGTAGGCGTCAAATTTTTTGCAAAGTTAATACGAAAATAGAACTTTACAAACTCAACATAGTAAATCAAAGTGATGACTTTCCAAAAAGTGAGTTTGTCGGGCTTCTAAATATCCTACAAGCATGAGTTTAGTATCTGTATGTGAGTCAGAGAAGCTGCTTCAATGGACAAACCTCCAGCATGTGTAATATACTAGTAAAATGCAAACAGAGGCTTGGCATTGTCAGCGGAAAAAAGTAGTCACTGGTGTTTTTTTTTTTACAATCCACTCCATGTGGAGGCAGCTGCTGACCTGTATTTTTATCTGAGATGTTTTACTATGACCATGTGCACTGTTTAGTTACAAATGTTGTAAACCTATCCTGTGTTTTAGCATAAAGGAAGGACAAAGCTGCCAATAGCCTCTCTTATATCTACATGTAATACTCATTAGTGCCCTAGTTGTGTACTATTCCACAATTATTCCAATTTGTTGTACTGTTTGAGTAGCATTATTAAAAGGTACAATTAATGTTACAGAAATTACTTAAAAAAGAAACAATGTTTAAGACAAATTAAAAAAAGAGAGAATGTCAGAAGAAGGAAACTGTGTTCAGGTTTCAGTATCGTATGCTGTCACTGACTGAGGTTCATAACAAATCCCACCTCCTTTACTCAGTTATCATTGTCAGATGACTGCCACCGCCACTCTGCTGTATTAACATGCTTCAACAAGATCTTGTAATCTGCCTTTTGTACCCAAGACACGTCACTATAGGGGAAGTGCATTTAGTAAACAATGAAGTGAACGGTAGCTGAATTCCACTTAGCAGCTTCAGTTTCAGGGCCGTGGTATGGCTTGTGATGGCTCACTGGCACACTATCATGGCTTAATGTGACGCTTAAGCTCAGTCCTAACACCTGTGATGTTCCTACTTTGACAAGTCCAAATGTTTCTTATGAACAAGGCCTGTTGATGTATACTTTTTTTGTTGGAAGTGCCTTGCTTGGTGCGTCCCTTATATGGTTTTCAGTAGCAGATGCTTTCAGAAATACTTGATCTGAGATGAGTAAATGGCAACATGAAATTTACTGTGCGAGGACCAAGGAGTAAAATAGACAGATTAAAACTCTTAAACAATGAACTGAAATAAAACAATGATGGAACCAACTCAGTACCCTCCACAATTCTTATTCAAATTCAAATTAAAACATGTTCAGCTCTTTAAAAGACAAGCAATGTAATTAAACTATTAAAAGTTACTTCACAAGCAAAGTGTCTTCAAAAGATCCTTCAAAAGACAAAAAAAAAGGATAACTGGGTACTTAAGTGTCTGCAAACTTTGCTGCTTAATTGTCCACTGGAAGGTTGTCCTCAGCTATTGACCATCCCTATGGCTCCATTATCACGGGTTCAACTGGCCTCCAAAGGGACCCTGGGGACCAGAGTATACTGCTAGTGACAAGTTCTAAAAATCTGTAGCCCACACTCACATCAACACGTCAGACTGCTGTCACGACCCGGAGCTACTCACACATTTGGGCAGAACTCTACACTCTGTCCGTGTCACAGGACAGGGGCGCTCATCCTCCCGGCTTTATCCATGCGGTCATAGACCCTCTTTCTTCACTCACTCGGGTCGGCTTGCTCCGTGCCGCGTTGCGTCTCACATGTTGCTCCGTTGATCCAGTTGCTCTCCTCCCGTGGTTGCCCCATTGTGCAACCCCTCCAGCTGGTTATCTTCTTCCCGTCTCTGGTGGTGCGATGCTTCCTCCCAGCTACACTGCATGTCCACTGAATTGGATGTTCTTCTAGGGCTGGATAAAAAAATTTAATAAAATCACAAGCTCAACCAGGTGCGTGATTGGTGTGTACTCTGACATCCAGCAGCTAGAAGTTAAGAACAGTAAAAGCTATTTTAAACTCTGGCACTAAACACGCTCAAAGGCACATATGTACAAAGCTAATACTTCTGTTGTGTCACAGCTGCACACACAGGCAGGCAATCCATAAGCCACTTGTATTTTTCACACCTTTTCTCTGTTGAATGTACCTGTTTATTTCACACATGCACACACACACATACACTTTATTGAATCAAATTGTCCCTTTGGGATTGCGATTTATTTCTCAAGAGACACCTATGAGCATGAAACATTCATAATCAAACATATACGTTTATGCGCACACATGCACACACACACACACACACACACACACGCAGCAGGGCCCCATGCGCAGTGTTTCCTGCAGGTCCAGACCTGACTGTCCCTTCCGGTGTAATTTAATTTGCACTCCCATAATTCTCTGCTTCTCTGGTGGCTGTGTCTCCAGGGTTCTGTCTCAACATGTTGATTTCCTCTCTCCCTCTATCTGTCACTGTCTCTCTCTTACTTTCACATCCTCTCCCGCTTTGTCTTTCTCCCATCTGTGCCAGAGGTCTGAGGAAGCGGCGGCATCACACATG